CCTGTTGCGGTCCCGGCGGAACACGGCTCCCCTCAACCTGGAGGGCCCCCGGCTCTCTTACAGCAATTCTCCTTCTCGATCCACTCGGTGCCCAGGATGCCGAACGTGCGGCAGGCCTCGCCGTAAGCGGCCAGCGAACCGCACAGCTGGACCTTCTTGTGGTTGTAGCAGCCATCCAGAAAGCAGGACTCGTAAAAGGGCAGGGGGTCCAGGAGGCCATAGCAGGGCTGGAAGAAACCTTTCATGTCCGTCAGCTTCAGGCAGTAGCTGTCGCTCTGCAGCTCCTGGATCTGGACGTTGTCGCAGGAAGCGGTGTATTGCGAGTACTGCAGCTCGTTGCAGCTGTGGGCGCCGGACACGTCACGGGGGCCGCCGTCACGACCGGCCCCGTTCCTGCTCCCGCCCGGCAGGGAAGGGCCGTCGGACCGCTCACCTCTTTTGCATGCCGTTGGTTTTCCAGCTCTGCGCCAGCACCACGCTGCTGACCGCCGGCTTCCCCCGCAGCGTCGCGTAGTCGTCCGTCCGGTCGCCGTTGAAGTTGCCGCAGAGGCCGCACACCTTGTTCTGCAGCCGCTCTCCGGGCGATTTTGATGACGTTGAAGCCGTTGTAGCGGATCTGAATGTCGGGGCTGGAGTCTATGACCAGGAAGCCCTCCTGGCTGAAGATCTTCGTGGAAAGCCCCGTGACAAAGGGGATGCTCACGTGGCTGCCGTTCACCTGCAGCGGGAGAAGACACGAGGCTGACGTCCCTCCCGTCCCCTCTGCCTACGGATGCGAGGGCGAGCCGCGCGCAAACAGCTCCGCAACTGTCTCCCGCTATTCCAGCTGTGAAAACTGGACCTCGGCGGTGGCCGACACAACCTCTGCCATCTTGCAGCCCGATAGATCGCTCCAAGCGCCACCACCTCCCTTAAGTGCCCACCGGAGGCTGCGCCGCTAAGGGGAACCTACTCACGTGCACAGGCTCTACCCTCTCACCAGCAAAGGCCACAGACAGCTCCCTTCAGAGACCGAGCGACGCTGCGGCCATAGCCAGCGCCCCGTATCCATCCGCTCGAAAGGACAGCTTTGCCCACGCCGCCGAGAGGCGGGGAGGAACGAGACTCGCAAGT